CCTAGTTCAGCTATTAGGGGGGCAGTTTCTCTGGGGCAGCTTAATGGCCTCATTCATTCTAAGCTCCATTCTGGCTTCCAGTCGTTTCATGAAGGGTTTTTGGATGTCAGAAAATCAGTGAATCGCCCATTGGGGTGCAGTCAGGTCGTTGGACTTGTGGGGTGAGAGCGTCAATTGGTGTTTTCTCGGGTACAGGTGGTCTTTTGACGGGTACCTGTGAAAGGAATACGTCAAGACGATTAGACATCACTATATTAAGGTGTTTTCCAATAGGGTATGTGAGATAGTGTGAGTAGGGTAGTGGTTTGGTATGCAAGGAACACCTCGACTTTTCGGAATGGCCCTAATAAAAAGTTCTCAAAGAAAATTTTTTTTTGGGCCTTAAGGCCCAAATTGGTGAATTTTTTTTGGGCTCTGTGGCCAAAATTGGGAACTTTTGGGCCTTAGGGGCCAAATTGGAAGAAATTTTTGGCTTTCCGGCCACTAGAAATTTTTTTGGGGCCTGTCGGGGCCAAATTCGGAATTTTTTTGGGCGCTTCGGGCCAAATGAGATTTTTTGGGCCTCAGGGGCCAAAAATGTGAACTTCTGGGGGCCCCACCCCCCCCTTTGTGCCAAATTGGAATTTTTTGGGCCTTGGAGGGCCAAATTTGGGAAATTTCTGGGGCCTTCGGGCCAAAATTGAGATTATTTGGGCCTTCGGGGCCAAATTTGAGAATTTTTGGGCCTTTAGGGCCAAATTGAGATTTTTTTTGGCCTTAGGGGCCAAATTGAGAATTTTTGGGCCTTCGGGGCCAAATTGGAGAAATTTTTTTGGGCTTAGGCGGCCAAATTGAGACCTTTTTGGGCCCTTAAGGAGGCCAATTGGGGGAATTTCTGGGCCTTCGGACCTCAAATTGGAATTTTTGGGCCTCTGTGGCCAAATCGACGATTTTTTTGGGCCTCTGTGGCAAATCGAGATTTTTTTGGAGGCCTCTGTGGCCAAGATTTCGAGGATTTTTTGGGCCTTCGAAGGCCAAATTTGAGAAGTTTTTTTTGGGCCTTCGGGGCCAAATTGAGAATTTTTGGGCCTTCGGGGCAAATGAGAATTTTTTGGACCTAGAAGACCAAAATGTAATTTTCCAGGTCTTTAGGGACCCAAAAAATGGGCGAATTTTCCCAAAGTTTTTGAAATGGAATGTTCTTTTTAATGAAGATGATATGTCCATCGAATGCGCTCAACATCACGTCATCAACTTCGGTTTTTAAATGATATGATTCGTAATCACTTGGGTGCAATTACATCCTAAAGGATAGGTTCTATAGGCTATGACACAAATTAGAGAAAATAGGCTATAAAGGGACCACTTGGAACTTGAGCAATGGATATACCTAAACCAACATGTGAAACAAAAGAGTTTCGCGTGGGTCCAACAGTACGCATGCCCATGGGCCACCCCACACATCGATCACCACCAAAACGATTAGGAGTGGTTTGCGAGTAAAGGGAGGTACGCTTTGGCTATCCGTCGACGATAAAATCAAAAGAGACCTGCCGATGGCAGCGCTACTTGCTTATCCCAGACTCAGAAGTTTGAACAAGAGAGAGAAGAAAATTCATTTTGAGAATTCCATTTTTTATGCTAATGGAGAAAAGGATTCTCAATCGTTGGCGCAAATAAATCAACAAATTTAAATGTCTTAATCAAAAATTTGTCCAATTAAGTTCAAAAATTTCCATCTCAACGAGTATTCCTGAAAGAAAGGCACTCGAGATTTAAATATGTCAAAGGTACCCTGCAAAACAAAGCAAAAGGTAAAAAATAATTGGCCCTAAAGAAGGGCAGCGGTTTATTTTATTCAACAATTGTAGTCCACTTCAAGTTATGCAAAAAGAATTAAACATTCATAATTCCCGCCAGTGGAAGTCGCCAAAACTGTAAAACCCCTCTCCCCAACATTCATGTAGATGCATTGTGAAATGCCATGAGACTAAAGGGCAGAAATGCCACGTGAATTATGAGTCGCCAACCGTTTGTTTAATTAATTTAGGGTAAACTAGGAAAAACCCTAAGTTGACTCCAATTTTAATTAACAAATTACTGGATTAATTAAACCAATGTTAAGCATGGTCCCCTAGCAAACGCCGAGATGGATCCCGAAACTATGTCATGCTGAAGAACTAACCTATGACATGAATTGCTTTGGCAGGGAGTTGATTAAATGTGATTTAGACCAATGAAATGTGATTTTGACTTGCCGCTACGGTTAAAATCCCAAACGTGCCTACGGTACTTCGTTTGAATGAAGAATCAAAAGTAAAGCAGTAAGTTCGATAAGGCCTTCTTTTGAAGGGCTTTGAATGGGTATGCTTAATGCATGAGTGTGTGTATGCTTTTTGGTGCAATTTTTGTTTAGAAGCATTCTGCTGATAATTGATTTTTAAAGCATTTGATCCAAAAATGGTTGATTATTAATGGCTTTTAGCCAAAAAGATTGATTTTAATGCAAATTGTTGCTAAAATTGATGTGATTTAGGCAATTTATTGCCAAAAATTGGTTAGGCGATTTGTCGCCAAGTGATTAAGTGAGCTGTGCCAAAAGTTTGATATTGGAAGGTGTTTAGGCCAAAAAGATTTAGGCAATTTGTTTTTTTGCCAAAAGTGATTATTAGGGCGTGTTGTCGCCAAAAATGGACTGATTTAAGCTTTTAGCCAAAAATGACTGGATTTTAGGACATTTTTTGCGCCAAAAGTTTGAAATGTGATTTTTAGGCGAATTTGTCGGCCAAAAATGATTGTTTGAAGGCTTGTTTAGCCAAAAGATTGATTTAATTCTAAGGCATTGTTGCCTGCAAAGCTTCTGATTTAAGCGATTTGTCCGCTAAAAAAGTGGTTAAATCTAATTTATGAGGGAAATTTGTTTTTGCCAAAAAATTGATTGAACCATGGGCAATTTGGTTCGCCCCAAAAAAATGTGGTTTGATTTAAATTTGTAGGCATGTTTTGGTTGCAAAAAACGTGGATTGATTAAGGCTTTAAAGCACAAAATTATTGGATTATTTGGACTTAAGCCGGACTGGTCGATAATAAAGGTAATTAAACCGTAGTTATTAATTAACTAGGCTTTTAGCCAATATTGTCGGATTTTAGCCTTAATACACGATTATGTGATTAATCCGGGGCAATTTAAAGCTTAATCATATTTAACTGAGGCAATTTATTTGCCTAATTGTGATTGCGAATGCATTTAATGGCAGTTGTAGGAGTTGTAAAGGAGTAGAGAGAGAAGCCATGCATGAAGTGCTAAAATTTAAATAGGCAGAGTTTTAGTTTTACCAGTACCTGATTTAATCGACGGCCACTTTTAACTCCAGTTAAAGCTCCTCGTTAAGGAGAATTTTTAATAATTTAATTTTAGTGAACCAAATAACCAAAGGAAGAAGCAATAAACTAAAATAAAAAATGCAGAAAGCAGTAAAAGAATCGCAAAGAGCGTGAGGGAGAAGGGAAGCGTCCGTCAACCACAAGACTGAAGTGTTCTCAAACGGAGCCCCAGAGCCAATGTTTTTATAGGACAAAAAAAAAACGCCGACCGGCCCCCCTGCCCCCTGGCCCTGGGCGGGCATGCCCACAACCCCCGCGGGCGGGCATGTGTGCCTTTTCCCCTCCTCTTTTTTTCTTTTTTTGTTCCGGAGGCCTTTTTCCGGAGTTCCGGACCCTACCAAAAAAATATTCCGAGACCGCGAGTTTCCGTGATCCTCGTAATTTTTTCGGACATGCTGCGTATCCGTGACTTTCAAGTTCAATATTGGGCATACTTCCGGTGAACTTCCCGAAAATGGCCTTTACGGTCCAATAATGCGGAGACTGTTTGCAGTCCGGCGGAAAACAGGGCTCTTTTGAGCTTCAAAAAAAAAAGGGTGATTCAACAGGCCGAACTGCATCGCCGCTGTCTCCGGCGGCTGCCCCCGATGGCGGCGATAAGCGCTATACCGGAGCCGGCCTTTAAGGGGGGCCAGCCACGGCTGGCCGCGGGCCGGGAAAAACTAGGCTTTTTGAGCCTCAAAAATTTGAGGTATTCACAAAGAGAGAGTAGACCTTAGAGGTTTTTTCCATCTTGTCAGTAATATAAATCAAGATTTTTCCCTCTAAAAAGTGGTGTACTCTATCTGCACAGAATTTAATGTGCAGCACGTAAAGAAGTTCTATTTTGTTTATTTTAAGTAGGGTCTTGCGCACTTGCTGAATTTCCCAACATTTTGTATCTGAGAGCCTTAAGAAATCAAGGCCTACAAACAACAACAATGTCCTCCACACAAGAAATACGAGAGAAGAACAAAGTGAAGAAGCCTCTAATGGAATGAAACAGCCTCTACAGTTGAAAGGCGCCGTTGTATCCCAATCACGCTAGAAAGAAGGGTTTCATGTTTGTAACGTTGAAATATCACTAATGTTGACGTGAAAAGTAACTAACGCAACAGTGGGCTAAAAAAGATGGAGGAGTTCTTCAATGATGGCTCAAAGGTTGTTGGGATGCAGTGAGATCACGAGCGGCCAGTTGAACTGAAAGCGCAGAAGACAGGGAATTGGCAATTGCTGCCATTTAACCAAGGTATACGGGAGCCAAGGATACCCTTGCTTCAACTGGGCTGGGAGCTAAGAAGAACTGCAGAGGAGCATGGAACATGCCTGAAAATGATGAACCAGGGGACTGAACAAGGCTTAAATAGAGGTTACGAAACTCAGACTTATGGAGAGATTTTCGACAAGCGTTGGAGAATGAGCGATTCGAGAATGTTGATGAATTTCTCAGGAAAGCTTACAATTATTTTGTCAACCAAATTAAAGGAGCCCTTGGAGAATACTATAAGAAGATGAAAAGGTGGCTGAAAAAAATTGTTGAGATCAAAGTCCTTGCATCCAAGTTCCTACAGATGACGTGATGCCACCATAGAAGAGTTTAGATGAAACCTATCAAACCAAAGTCAGTTTGAGGAGTGATAGGCTTTCACTAAAAGTCCATGAAAGAACATCTACTCAGGGCCTTGGGTGGTAAGTCTGAAAAAAACACTTCTTTCTCACAAGGAGCCGAGTGGAAAGGAAAGGGAGGCGGCAAAAGAACAGAATGCTTCTGCCGAACAGGAGAAGGTTGTGAGAGGTTAGAGGACGCGGAGGATGTGGTCGGGCCAAGATGGAAGACACAAGCGGTGAGTCAAGCCGAGGCGCGAATATGAGTCGAAAATCCGCAAAGAGAAGAAATTTGAAAAAATCAAAATTAAATGTTACAGCTATGGCCCAAATGGGACAATTCTTTGCATCCCAGAAATGCTGTCAAATGAGAGAGATTGAACGAAAAGCTAGATTTGAACAGAAAAAAATGAGGTAGAACTGTCGTCTTTTATTAATTGAAACTTGCGAGCTGAACATTCTCACAAGGAAGAAAATTATATTGAAGAACCTTCCTTGTTGATGATCGAACCGTGTGAAGTTCAAGTGAAGGGGAAGTAATAGTGGTAACGGAGCAATAGAAGGAAGTGTTATGAAGGAACCGTTGGATATACCCTCGACTACTTACACCCGAGGAGGCCAGTAAGCCACCAACCCAGAAGGTGAGTTTAAATTTGGCTTTTCTGAAAAATTTGGATCAGATCAATTATTGGTAAAAAGGTAAAATTGGGTGATGGGTCTATAATCAACTATACATGGGTTAGTTCCAGTGTTTGGTTTCCAATGCAAAAATGGAGAACACCTTGACACTAACCAAAATGTATATTATATACCATAAATTGAAAAGCAATGAATCATCAAGCTCTAGGACAAATCGACTGAAAATTGAGCGGACGTGGATTATTGAAGGAGGAATCTTGGCAGGGTTTATGATTGACTCAAATCGGCTCACAATCAAGGTGCAAGAGACAAACCTAACAGATTGTTTACTTGCAAAGAAGCTCAGGTATTGCCAGAGACGTGTGTGTTGACATGACTCGCATAGTTCAGAGTCAGAAATTGGCTAGGCACGCGAGATTGCCGGTCCATCTGAATTTTGCCAAGCATTGATGAGATGTCAACAACAGAGAGTCGGTATGGAGGGATTTGGCAGAGCATTACACAAACTAATCAGGTGTGGTGAATTGGTGTGTGTAGTGGGAAAACAACAACAGATTGCCATTGTCCCACATACTGCAAGACGGCACGTTTAGAAGCAGGAGGAAAGCTGCCACGGTTGATTGACATGAGATCTAGCTGCGGTCCCGATTTTTCACCAATAACACACCAGGAGTAACAAAAATTTAATGGCTTAGTTGATGATTACTCAACTAGGAGCTATAAATGTGGGTTTTTTCTATTAAAGTGAGGAAAAGGTGAAGCCATTCGAAAGCGTTCAAGAAGATTCACAGAAGCTGGCCGAATTTGAAAAGTGAAAAAGATTTAAAGTGTTTTCAGGAACAAGATCGCGGGGGTGAATTTAATTCAATTGCTAGACTTCAAAAGAAATATTGTGAAGAATAGAGGTGTGAAACATAATCAACAGCACATTTTCCCCACAACAGAATGGCGTCGTGGAGAGAAGAATGCAAAAAACTGTTCTTTGAAATGATGAGGAGCATAATGAAGAAAGAGACAAAATCCGGTACTTGCAAATTTAGGGTGAGGCTGTTTAAAACTTCAGTTTTTATGTGTTGAACATGAGTGTCCGCGAAACGAAGAGTGTAGGAGGGGATGGACACCAATATCCAAGCTGGTGTGGGAAGATCCCAAATATAACACCATTTTTCGTGTATTGTTGGTGTCTTAAAGACTCACATCAAGGAACAACATCACCTCAAATCTCAACCAAACTTGAAGACAACAGCGTAAAAGGAGTCATTGCTTTGGATACGAAGGGAAAAAAAAGGGAAAAAAAAAAAATTTTTTCCCGTTTCAAAAGGCCTTAAAAAACCGGAATCTATGATCCCAATCAAGAAATAAGCCTAATAATAAAGGTAGAAAGATGTCATTTTCGAAGAAAAAAAAGAGCTGGCATTGGCAGTCTGAAAAGAAAGAAGAAGGAGCTGGACGAGTGTCGGTACCGGTTTGCTGTACAATTAGAGAATACAGGGGGACTACAAGGTATGTGGAGGAGGGGGAAGTGGTCGGCCTTGCTATCTCGGTACAAACCCTCCTACCAGTACATCAGACCTTAAATTCTAAACAACTCTAACCCCCGCCATCAAAAGTACAGGTCATTGCAGGAAATCTAGGACAATGAAACTAGAAATTGACACAGGAAGAATAAGGGCCTGTGCTTTTCTTGTCTATGGAGGACACCAACATCAGTTCGAGGCAGCTAAATGGCATATGAAAAATTGGCGGCAAAGCAAATGAAGATGGAGAATTGAATCAATTCCCATGACAGAAACAGAACCTTGGGAGCTTTGCAGATTTCGCCCAAAGAATCAATAAAGTGTAGGGCTCAAGTGGATTTTCAAGCTGAAAGAATAGATCCAAAATGGGCAAGATAATCAAAGCATAAAGCCCGGACTTGTTAGTAAAGGGCTATATGCAGAATAGTGGAGTCGAATTACAAAGGTGTTTGCTCCAGTTGCGAGGATTTCGAGATGGTGACGGAACATTCTTGCATAATGTCAGGCACAAAGGCAATGGAAAAGTTCACCATATGGAGTGTCAAAATAGCATTTTCGTAAAATGGTGAACTCGAGCAGGAGGTGTAAACCGTGCTGCATTGCCTGAAGGATTTATTGATAAGAATCATCCGCTAGAAAGGTGCTTAGACCATGTATAACGCCTTGTAGTGCTAGAAACCAGCCCCAAGAGCAGGAATGCCAAGCTGGACCGGGAGTCATCATGATCACTAAATTTCAGAAAATGCCCATTCGAGCACGCAGTTTACGATTGAAGGAAACAGACCAATGATGTTACTGTGGTGGAGTATACGGTAATGAATCTTAATCTCTCAAGGATCACGCAGTGCACTTTATTGATAAATTCAAAGCATCGAAATGAATGAAGGTGTTTCGAGATGAGTGACTTGGGAACTCCTAGGTTAACAACTTGGCGAACGAGGGGTGAAGACAAAACTCAGAATTTATAACTTTACTGCCAAACGAGTTAATGCAGGCAAGAATTCTTGAAAAGTAGGGATGTCCAGATGCAATAGGCTGTCATATACCGCATGGATCCAAGGTACCACGATATAAACTGATAAGCAGGGATGTAGGAATACACCAGTCCCTGCCGCTACGCCGCATACAGAAGCAGTTAATGAGGTTAGTCTTGGAATTTATCTGTGTAAAACTGAACACGTCCTGATCTGCTTATTTAGTTTGAGCGTGGCAGGTGGTGGTAAATACCCGTCCTGATCTTGCTTATTTAGTTGGGGTGGTTAGCCGATATATGGAAACTCCAACAACATCACATATGAATGCTGTTAAGCAAATCCTTCGATATGTGAAAGGAACACTTGATCTCGGAATCGTGTATAAGAAGAATCAGGAGTGTGAGGCGCTGATTGGGTATAGTGATAGCGATCTTGCAGGTGATATGGATGACAGGAAGAGCACAACTGGAATTATGTTTTTCCTTGGTGAAAGTCCAATTACTTGGGTTTAACAAAAACAAAGAATTGTTGCTCTTTCTTCATGCGAAGCAGAGTACATTGCAGCAACAGGAGGTACCTGTCAAGGAATATGGCTTACAAAGATAATTGCAAGTTTGAGAGGCAATAATCAACTTAAGCCTATTCTAAGGATAGACAATAAATCAGCAATCTCTTTGGCCAACAATCCAGTTCATCACGAAAGAAGTAAACATATCGATACAAGGTTCCACTTTATTCGTGACTGTGTAAAAAATGGAGATGTCAAGCTGGATTACACTAGAACAGAAGTGCAGCTGGCGGATATTCTAACTAAACTGCTGGGAAGACAAAGATTTCTAACACAATGTTTCTTATTTTTCTTCTACTATGTACTAGCTATAGTAAAATTAATCTAATATATGTATTTCCCTTTTGGAACACACAAATGTAGGATGTTGCTGGGCATTTTCTGCTGTGGCTGCCATGGAAGGAATTACAAAGCTCTCAACAGGAAAATTGATTTCTCTTTCTGAGCAAGAACTTGTTGATTGTGACACAAGTGGAGAAGATCAAGGCTGCGAAGGGGGTCTTATGGATGATGCATTTGAATTCATAAAAAAAAATGGAGGACTAACAACTGAAGCCAATTACCCTTACCAAGGAACTGATGATTCTTGCAATAAAAGAAAGGCAGTTGATCACGCAGCAAAGCTTACTGGCTATGAAGATGTGCCTGCTAATAGTGAAGATGCCTTATTGAAGGCAGTAGCCAACCAACCAGTCTCTGTAGCCATTGATGCAAGTGGCTCTGCTTTCCAGTTCTACTCAGGTGGAGTATTTACAGGAGATTGCGGAACTGAACTCGACCATGGAGTTACTGCAGTTGGGTATGGCACAAGCAGTGATGGAACCAAGTATTGGTTAGTGAAGAACTCATGGGGAACTTCTTGGGGTGAAAATGGATACATTAGAATGGAAAGAGATATTGATGCTAGCGAAGGTCTTTGTGGAATTGCGATGGAACCTTCTTACCCAACTGCATAATTAAAATTAAGTGGCAGAAAAGAAAATATGGGTCAATCTTAAAATATAAATACATTTTCCAAAAATTTAAGCATTTAGTATGCTACTATTTTATTCTGTAAAACTCAGTACTGCATGCAGTTTTTATGTGTAAAGGTTTATTTTGGTAATGAAATGGTATAAATATATCATATATGGCTCTTTCTCACTTGTACTTGTACTCCAAGCACCAAATTTTCAGGCAAATGATAAAATCTCAACTATAAAATTTGCTGATAGGTTAGCAGATGGAGTGTCCCTTTATGTTTAGTCAATTGAAAATATAACCTTAAAAAATAACTTTGAGGAATGTTGTACCTATCATTGTGTTTGGTACATTCGAAACTAGAGAAATTAACTGTAAAAAATATCAATAAATTAATATGAAACTAAAGTAAGATATAAATATTTAAACAATATCAAATATGATTTTCCCTTTTAAAAATCAATTTCATTTAATTTATCAAAGTTAAGAAATATGTATTTATTTATAGTTTTTCTTGAATATATTTATAAAAAATATAAATTTTATTATTATTTTTTTATCTTACGGAAGAGGAAAATTTATCCCATAAAATTAAGATCGAACTGCCCAACCTTGAAACCTGTGTTAGAATTAGCAATAGCAATAGGTTATAAGAAAGTCTCCGAATTTTTTTTTAGAAGGATGTTTTTAAAACTTCTGACACGTAATATAAATTTTCATTTGCTAATACTAAGCTAAGCCAAGTCCTTCGACATATTGATGCCAATGGTGTGGTGGTAACTCTTGACATCTTCTTCAAATCTTTCTGATAATAAAAATGGATTTTCAATAAATTTGAGGTGAAGCAAAGACATGAACAAGAAGCTGAGGATAGCACAACAGACAAATCCAAAACAATATACTCCCCCTACAGGTCCGTTTGCTCTTAAATTGTCTAATGTAAACCAAATCCATTTTTGTGAAATTATGAATAAGAAACTACAGGTCCGTTTGCTCTTAAATTGTCTAATGTAAACCAAATCCATTTTTGTGAAATTATGAATAAGAAATTAATAATTAGTTAAATAAAGTTTGAAATAAAATGAAAAAACAGCTCCTTAGAACAATGAAAACAGAAGTAACGAATCTTCTACGGACATAATTTCACCTGTCCTTATCGGATACTACTTGCCAGTTCCACCAGCTACTACTATTAATAATTATAATAATCATGTGTAACACAGTTTCAAACAAACCTATAAATACCTGTAGTCTCAGAGAGAAAATGTGCACAATCAACTTTAATCCTTTATCTACATAAAAATCACATTGTCACTGTTTTATTTACACAGTTGGTGCAATGGCTGTAGTAGTACTACTTGAAAACAAACTAATCTTTGTTACAGTGTTAGTGATGGGGTTGTGTGCTTGCCGAGGTTGGTCACGATTCCTCTACCAAGCTTCGTTGGAGGAGAGGCATGAAATTTGGATGGCTCAACATGAACATGTTTATAAAGACGCGATCGAAAAGGAGATGCGCTTTCGGATATTCAGGGAGAATGTGGAATTCATTGAATCTTTCAACAAGGCTGGGAATAAGTCTTATAAGCTAGGGATTAATGCATTTACAGACATCACTAATGAGGAATTTCGTGCATTGCGAAATGGATACAAGAGGTCTTCTTGTTCAAGCTCATCAGTAACAAAGTCATTCAAATATGAAAATGTCACTACAATTCCATCTAGCTTGGATTGGAGAAGCAAAGGAGTTGTTACACCCATCAAAGACCAAGGTCAATGAGGTAAGTCACTTGGACTTCATGTAAACAAGTCAGGGTTTCAAAATCCTGATAGTCCATCCCTTTAAGAATTGTGATAAAAGAAAAAAATAGGAAAAGGAAAAAAGAAAGAAACCTCTTAACATTATATGAATTGCATGCAAAAATGCAGGATGTTGTTGGGCATTCTCTACGGTGGCAGCTATGGAAGGGATCACAAAACTCTCAACTGGGAAATTGATATCTCTTTCAGAGCAAGAATTGATTGACTGTGAAACAAGTGGAATAGACCAAGGCTGTGAGGGTGGTCTTATGGATGATGCCTTTGAATTCATTATTCAAAATAATGGCCTTATGACTGAAGCAAATTATCCTTACCAGGCAGAGGATGAAACTTGCAACACGGAGAAAGCAGCAAATCATGCTGCCACAAAATCACAAGTTATGAAGATGCGCCAGAAAACAATGAGGAGGCCTTACGCATGACAGTGGCAAACCAACCAGTTTCTGTTGCCATTGATGCTGGTGAATCTGCCTTCCAACACTACTCGAGTGGAATATTTACTGGAGATTGTGGAACTGAATTAGACCATGGTGTCACTGTAGTCGGTTATGGGACAAGTGATGATGGGAATAAGTATTGGTTAGTAAAGAACTCATGGGGAACTAGCTGGGGTGAGGATGGATACATTAGAATGCAAAGAGACATTGATGCTAAAGAAGGCCTATGTGGAGCTGGGGTGAGGATGGATACATTAGAATGCAAAGAGACATTGATGCTAAAGAAGGCCTATGTGGAATTGCCATGCAGCCTTCCTATCCAACTGCATAAATGATGGAAGAATCTTTCTATTAAAAGAAATAGACAAAAAAGAAAAAAAAGAAAAGAGAAGAAAAGAAAAGGAATGATGGGTGAACCTTCATCTAGGGTTCCCCTTTGCTGTGTATGTTTTTAGTTAGCTCCATTTCTGTGGACTTTGTACAACAATTTATCTACATATGAAGGTTTTAGTTTGATTTGGAAATGGAATCATGGAATGGATGTTGGTAACTTCTTTGCTATTATACATCAAAGCACCAAATAGTAACACAAAAAAATAAAATCTAAAATTTTGATATGTTGCTTGGTTTGCTGTGCAGGCAACATCCCCCATTCGGCGCTTTATAATAATGTGGTCTCGACTAATAGTTTACCAAATACAACCTATGAAAAGGCCTAAGGTCCTACTTTACAGGAAGATTGCCTAAGCTTTGCATCTTCATTCTTCACTTCTACTTAAAAAAAACAAAAACAATGCATCGTAAGAAGTGTTCCTAAATGGATGATGTTCTCAGAATTATCCAAGAATATCTTGTCTTATCCAAGAATATCTTGTCCTAACTGCAGGCGATAATCTACCAGGGGAGGGAGAAAAATAAAATGAAGCGTAAACATCAAATCACTTGATGACAATTAGCTGACCTAGAGATAAATATCAGATAATATGTAAAGAATGGCATCGACTATGAATATCCTCTATTCCAGTAAAAAAAAAAAATCAGATTCTAAACATTAAGTTGGAACCATGGACAACAGAAAAAAACAGAGACAGCCAGAATTGATCTACATAATGTTGTACAAAGAGAAAAATAAGAATAGAACGGCATCATTAAACACAGGCTTGCAAAGTTATCAAGTGTACAAAACAATCATAAGGAACCATTAAATTTCATCATATGGACCTACTCTATTGAATGGAGGAATAGTCACTTTCCCGAATTGGGGTGGGACTTGGTGCAAAGGACCCAACGTCCCTTGGCACGTCGACGTTTCAACACTGCCCTCCCACTAGTGGTGCTCATCCTTCGACGAAAACCATGAGTCCGGGCCAAAGACTTCCGGACCTGTTCCTCTTAGTTTGACAAAGAGCAGCTTTGCCAGCTCTCACCACTAGGCCATAGCCTCTCTGCTTTCTTACCTCAGCATTAGAATTTAAATCCAATCCCAAAGATAAACCTGCAAATTTAATTCCATGCAATGATACTTTTTTAACTCCTCAAGTTTTTCACTTCAATGCTTCTGCCAGTATTGAACATGGTACATCAAGCTCTGACAATGTGAATATGCATCATATTTCTATTTCTGTTCTGCACTAAATCCAACTGAGATTTGATTTGAGTACCTTCCCTCAAACTAGAAGAAAATTAAAACTCTAGCAACAAGTGAAATTGTATCTTCAGTTTACATTATTCAACATGTCCTTGTTCTCTCATTAAAGCTGACTTACACGTTAACTCATTTGATGTGCTACCTAACTCTTTAAAGTGTATATTATTGCTACAAACTTTAACCTGTATATACTAAAAGAAGGAAATAATGAGATAATTATCCAAAGTATCAATGCTGCTTTAACATTTTAAGCTTAATTTTTAAACAGGAGTTTTTGTTTATTGTCCCAACGTTTATCAACATTTACCTATCCAAAATTGCTTCTTGAGCATTTACAAAGTAATTTTCTAGCTCAAAGAAACAAAATTTACTTTCAATTATATTCAACATTTACCTATCCAAAATTGCTTCTTGAGCATTTACAAAGTAATTTTCTAGCTCAAAGAAACAAAATTTACTTTCAATTATATTCCTAGAAAATATTATTTAAAAATTTGGTAAACCAAAGAATTCCGAAACGTTGTTCGAGACATTTCCTATAGACATTTTAACTTCTGAATTTGACAAATTCAAATATGCATTTTATCTCCTAAAAGTACCAAAAAGAGATACCCTTGAAAACCTTTCACCTTAAAGCTCTAGAATATCACTCAATCAAAGTAATTCAAACCTCAAATATCAACAAAAGATGTCCGGAACAGAAGATAACAAAAACAACAATAACCAGAGCATAATTTGAGTTCATTGCAATTACCTGAGAAGGAAGACCTTGACCCTTGCTATGTTGTTAAGACATAACTTGAGTTATAGGTCTCCAAATTGAATCAAATTTAATTCATTAGAAAGCTAAGACAAATTGCTACAAATTTTATGAAGGGACCATGGCCCAGATCAATCTGTAAGATGGCAAACAAAAGATAGGAACACAGACCAACAGTCCAGACCTGATTCAGCAGAACCAAGTCCAATGTTATTAAATTCCTACTTATCCAAACACTCAAATTATCAAATTAAACCAATTCTTAAAACCAGGAAGTCCTTAAGATACAGGAAAAAACCTTTCATGAAAAAACTCATTGAAAACATTATAATCTTGCCATTATAGTGGTCAAAATGGGCACTAAATTCAGAGATGCATGTGGCCCAGCATAACAGAGTCAGTTTGGGTGTTTTAGCTATAAGTTGAGCTATATATATCCAAATTTAATACAAGAGGATGGGTTGGAAGTCTAAGAAGTAGACCTACAACTTTTATGAAGGGCTTAGACACAGATGGGAA